AGCTAGGCGAGTGGCTCCAGCAGATCCCGGGAATAACATCGGAGATCTCTGTCCAGAAGAGCACAGTCCTGGGAACAGCTAAGATACTGCGCAGGACCCTCAAGCTCCCAGGCCTCTGGTAGAGGACCCGAGCTTGAAGGATAAAACCGCCCGCAGGGGCGTGCTGGGTGTTTTTTTTATGGTGAACTTACAGAGGCACAGTGTTCCAACATTTAGAAGAAGGAACTGCTCTCACGGCTAGAAATTACATTTTTTAAATTCATGTTTTCATGTTGTAAATTCTTTTTTGAATCTGCATGCTCCCTCTGCCTGTTACTTTGCTGCTGAACACCTGAATTTCCCTAATGAGCGACAATAAAGGATATTTCTATTCTATTTGTATTCTAACTCGGCCATAATTGGATCTCAACTCCAGCCCACATCAGCTGATGGTTCAGCATATACCCTTCCACAGATTTTCAAATCTCAGATAGGGCCATTTCAGTTCCTTCAGCCGCAACAAGCTGCTTTGCAACCCACATCCACTCCTGCTCCTCCACTTACTTTCATGTCTATTTTCATGGATGATCGCTTTGGTCTGTGCTGGGTTTCTGACTGAACTGAAGAGTGTAGTTTATTAACTGTGTTGCACAATTCAGGAAAACATCTCCCCCAGGCATGAATAGCAGAGGCTTATGAGACAAGAATTTCAGTGTTTCAGTGAACTGGGCAAAGTTAATACTGCTGATAGTGACCAAGCTAAAGATACTAATAAAAATTTGATCAATAACACCAAGCTTATCCTTTAAAGCCATCAGTGGGCATCACTTGTGCTTCTACACAGCTGTCAAGCAACCCTTTTAGTATGGACAAAGACTTGGATGAAGCATAAATACAAAGGGTATACATAAGCACACACACTGTTTCTAAAGGTTGGAACAAAGTGGGAGAGGTGAAAGATGTACTGAAAAGATGATGGACAGACAGGAAGATTGTAGTAAGAGGGAATGAAGTGCCTTTCAGCAACACTGTGGGAGAGGAGAAACATACAGTATTAGTTAGAGAAAATAAACCCAGGATCGACACAACCACAGCAGATGGAGTGACACACACTTAAATACACAGTTAATACTAAGAAAGACAGATCCACACTTGACAAATAGTGCATTTCCTCACCTCCTCATCACTCTCAGGCTCTGGTGCTTTCTTGTCTTTCTTCTTCTTCTTCTCATCTTCCTTCTTCTTCTTGTCTTTGTCTGGCAGGATATCATCCAGCCAGGCCAAATCATGTTGTGAGAACATCAAATCCAGCAGCTTCCGTACAACCATGAGACCGAGAATCTACAAAACCAGGTAGATTAACATTATCTTGTCATTGTTGTAAATTGCCGCTATATAAATAATACACAGTTGAAGAGAGTTGTACTACTACTAATACAATTATTATCATCATATCAGTAAATGAGGCCCAGTGGCTCAGTAGCAGACTTTCTGAAATAGAGGGGCCTGGGTTCGAGTCTGCTCTAGACCATTTCTAAATAAAGCAAGTTAACAAGTAAAAATGATACGCCTTGGAGAGATCCTTTAAAAGTTGGTTTTGATGTGACAAAAATCAACTTGTACAAGCAACATTACATTTTTCATTGTTTTGTATAATGTTTAATAGATTTATTTTCAGTACTTAGTTGTGTTTGGGAATCATTTGGAGAATATTTTACAAAACAGTGTTTTATCTTCAGGTTTTCATATGACAAAAGAAAGAAGAAAAAAAGGACGACTGATGAATTTTTCCAGGGTCAATCCAATTTGGCAATCTACTTGAGTAGAAAATATTAGATTGATAATGGACGAAATTCTGACTGTGTGCAGCTTTTCAAGAGTGATGTTGGAATATAAGTATTATTTCAAAATGGATGAGCTGGAGGTTTTTCAAAATTTTGGGGACTATAAAGGTAGTCTGTTTACATAAATAATTCTGAACTTTTATTTAGGAATGTGTCGATTTGAGCTGAATGTTTATATGGATCACTATTAAGTGAAATGCGTTTTTAAAATCAAATCAATATCTGTCAGATTTCCTGTCTACTCTTTGCCATATCAGAGTAGACAGAAAATCTGAAAAAAGAAATGAAAAGAAAAAACTACAAAGCTTTAGAGTAGAAAATAAGGCAGTTTTTCTAGCTATCCTCTTCGAAATTTAACAAAAACTTTCATCACTAGGAGCAGCATTTTAATGTTTTTGAATGTGTGATACTGTTTGAACAAGCACATAACAAATGTGCTTGTCACATTTCCAGGGGTGAGGGGAGGAAGCCAGCACAAAAAGAAACACTATGGCAACAAGTCTAGCTAAAGATGGAGAGTGGTGAATAAAACACGTAGTGAGTGAAAAAAGGTGACTAAAGAGTGTTCATAAAGCTTTATTTGTATTGAAGTGACAAAAGCATGCACTTTTCTCACTTCTGCATAGATACTTTAGAGGAAAATGTCAAAGCCTTTGCTTCTTTATATCCTGTTGATAACTTTAGTTATTTTGGAAGGTAAAACATGGAAATTTACAAAAGGTTCCAAACAGGACCAATAAAATAAGACAATAAGACAATAGGACATTCTTAAAGGTCATTGAATATTATTTAAATCAAGCTAAAGTTATTAGCTGCATCGTAACCGGAATGTAACCTTTTTTCAGTACAACTGTAATTCCTGCTTTCTGCTTTTTGAGTAAATGATGATAGAAAAGCATCTGTTTCGACATATTTTTTTGTTCACGTCAGAGGACGTGCCAGACAGTTTAATCCGTGTAGTTTTACTTTTAGCCAGAATAATTTTTAGTTTAATAGCTATACAATGACCCTTCTTGGTAGTTTAGTTTGATAAATTGTTCCTGTAGCTCAGTAAGTATAGCAGATCATCTACTGATCGAAAGGTTGATGGTTCCATCCTTGGCTGTTCCAGTCTGAATCCCACATATCCTCGGACAAGATACAAACCCCAAGTTGCTCTTTGACGATTCCATCAGAGTATGAATGTGCGTGATTAGCAGATGGAAAGCATGTAAGCATAGAAGAAGTGCTTGTGTGAATGGGTGAATGAGGAGGCAAGTTGTATACAGTGCTTTGAGTATTCTGGGAGCATAGAATGATGCTATGTAAAAATCAGTTCATTTACCCAAACAGAAGAACACAGAACACCCTCACCATTACTGGGAAGATGATGGCCAGAAATGTAGACTTAAGGATCCAGAGAACAGCCAGACACACAATCTGGACTAGGGTGAAAAGGTGGACGCGTCTCATAGGGACATGACGCAGGAAGGAGAAGTCTGGCTGGTGTTTGGGCGGCATTAGATACAGCTTGATGCGCTCCCAGAACTGGAACAAAGAAATCGAGAAAATATTTTAAGGTATTCTTTTATTTAGTGTTTTAGAGATGAAACAAGGATTGCACCGGTCTAGCAAGCTTGGAAAGAAAGTGTCTCACTCCTCCTCCTAGATGAGAGGTGAAGTGTAATAGTTAATACATAACGCAGTCCCGTCACTTTCTTTCCAAGCTCCTTAGATTACTATGATCTGGAAGACTGAGAACCTACAGACATGGGGATTACAGATTAATTAGAAAACTAGCACCCAACTATATTCAAGAAGAGGTCAGTAAAATTTCTACAGCATTCTTATAGGCACCTGGGCATTATTTTAGACAGATGCTCTAAGACAATAGACAAACTATCTCAATCCAGACTGCAAAAAACTGAGTTGATGATTAATTAACCTCTACCAAGTTGCTGCTTTGGGTTAGTGATCCAGCCCTAACTATAAGCTTTTTTTTTTTTTAAAGGAAAGTTTTAAGCCTAATCTTAAAAGTAGAGAGGCTGTCTGTCTCCTGAATCCAAACTAGGACCTGGTTCCAAAGAAGAGGGGCCTGAGCCCATTTTTCTTTTAAGGGTCCTAGGAACCACAATTAAGCCAGCATTCTGAGAACAAAGTGCTCTGTTTGGGTGATATATCACTATGAGGTCTTTAAGAGAAGATTGGGCCTGATTATTCAAGACCCTCCATGCGAGTAGCAGGAATTTAAATGCAGTTCTATATTTAGGCAATGAAGTATAGGCAAAGTATACTCTTTTTCTAGTCTCTGTTTTTAGAACATCCTGATGATAATGAATTAGTAGTCCAGTCCAGAAGTAATAAATGGATGAACTAGTTTTTCAGCATCACTCTGAGACAGGATGTTTCTAAGAGATTGTGCAAAAATGGAAGAAAGCACTCTTACATTCTTAATATGCTCATTAAAGGTGGTCATAAATGGTTGCAAAATTTTCAGTGTTTCTGGAGCCCCAGGTAATGCCATCTAGAGTAAGCATCTGATTGGATACCATATTTCTAAGATTTTTAGGGCAGAGAAAAATAACCTCAGTTTTATCTGAATTTAGAAGCAGGCCATTATGTCATCCAGGAAATTACCAGAAATGAAAAATTCCAATTATTCCATATTTTCATTCCTATATCTTCTAATGTTGCTGCCTAAGTTAAACTTGTATAATGTAAACAGAATTGGTCCTAGCAAGGAACCCTGTGGAACTCCACAATTAACCTCAGTGTGTAAAGAGGACTCTCCATTTACATGAACACACTGGAATCTATTACATTTCAATTTGCAGATTCTAATTTGATATGATTCAAACCACTATCTTTAATGCCTACAACATGCTCTAATTGCTTTAATAAAATATTAAGGTCAACTGCATCGAACACTGTGCTGAGGTGTGGCAGGACAAGTAGAGATGATTCCACCATCAAAGGCCATCAGATCACTTCTAACCTTCACTAACACTGTTAATTTGATGAACTCCTAAACTTGACTGAAACTCTTTAAATAAACCATTACTCTGCAGTTGAAGATTTTTTCAGAGATTTGAGATTGACCTTTAATTAGCTTAGACATCTGTGTCAAGTGATGATGGCTTTTCAAGTAACGGTTTAATTACTGCCGCCTTTGAAGGCCTGTGGCACATAGCTGATTAATAGAGAATAGAGAACTAATAGAGTAGATTTAAATGTTATTAGGAAGTGATAAAAGAAATGAGGAATTTCAGAGAATACTGTTAAATATTCTATTTCTATGCCATATGTTCCACAGGGTTCAGTGCAAGGACTCCATATCATGTGCACATTATATATGCTTCCCCTAGGCAGTATCATTAGAAGGCATAACATACAATTTCACTGCTACACAGACGATACCCAGCATTGTCTATACATGAAGCCAGATGAAACACACCAAATGGTTAACCTGCAGAAATATCTTAAAAATATAAAGATTCATTGATGATGATCTAATTTTTTACTTCAAAATTCAGATAAAACTAAGGTAATTGTACTCAGCCCTAAAAATCTTAGAAACATACTGTCTAACCAGATACTTAGTCTTGATGGATATCCTATCCATTCTTTCTGTTTTCTCTCTAATATTGTAGGGTCTTTTACCTTATAATATAAAGCACCTTGAAGCAACTCTTGTTGTGATTTGGTGCTATATAAATAAAACTGAATTGAGTTTAAGTGCTTTAATTGATCTGTCAATTATATTATATTATATGTTATTATAAACTCATTCATTTCCTTAAGCTTGTACAATCTGGCCCTCTGAGAAAAAACAAAATTGTCATCCACCTTGTTCTCTTCCAGAAAATAACAAGTGATTTGAGTGTAGAACAAGCTCTGTAGTATAAGCATTTGAAAATAGGATTTGTGTGAAAATGTTACACATTACAAACACAAATTACTTTTGACTTTAGACAGTCTTGGCAAAATTGCTGTCAGCTGCTATATCTGCCTATCAAGTAAAGGTCACATGGTGTTTGAAAATTAATTCGTTTACACTGAAAAAGACTATGGATTTTTGTTATTCCTGTTTTCTGCTGTCTGATTTTTCATCTATGCACCATTTTCTTTTAATATATATTGGCATATAGATTATAGTTTCCATGAAGAAAAATATGGAGAAAAAAATATATATATGTATTTTTTTGTAGTATACCTGGATGCCACTCAGTGAAGCCACTCCCATGTAGAGGAAGACTCCATAAAGGACAGGCATGGGGATGTACTGAATTGAACAGAACATACATTTTAAAATAAAACCAATATAAACTTTCTACTGACACCACATCAGTCTCATGTACGAACTTACCTGAAGTATAGGTGCAAGAAAGACTGAGAGTCCTGTTAGGACAAACACCAAAGTGCCTGTCAACCTCTGCTCTCTGGAAGTGAAGAATCAAAAGCATAGCATAAAACTTTATTCTAGGTCCACACAAAAAGATGATTTAGGCAATCAGAAACCACACAGACCTTAATTTGAAATAAGGACTCTCTTTTTTATGCAGTCTATCTTTAAGATCTCAAAAGTTAAGTAAGCATTTTCACTTTTCACCATCTTAAGCCTTCCTTAAGCCAGCAGGGGACACTCCTCTGGTTCCAAAAATAAGTTTTATAGAATTTATTCCCCCAACCTTGTCCCCCAATTACCAGCCTATGAGCATGCAATGTTTCAGAACACAGAGCTGGTGATGGTTAGCTTTTTTTTTTCTTGGGGGGACCCACCTGACTCCAAGGAACTGCGGTTGCTCTCCAGGGGCACTAGATTCACTTTCCATCTTCAGTGAGTCGATATGAGCAATGGAAATGACAGTGGCTGCTACATACCATGGCATGCCCATGAAAGAACACACAGCCATCAGCACACCTACCCAGAACAGGTCCAAGTGGTAGCCACAGCTTTTCTGAAATTGGGTGCAATAACGGGAAATTACCCAGAAGATCCACTCCCCATGTAATCCTGAACTGTGTAAACAGTTCAGAAATGACCAAAAACACAAATAATACATTTGCTTTAAATTTGAGTATCACAAAGCATCATGACACTTTCATTGCTTTAGTATAGTAATGTATTGAAGCAGTAGTGCAGTACTGTTACAACTCAAGTTACAATTGTTCAAGTTGTAAACAGTTGTATTTTTTCTTCTCATTACCTTTCCCAGAGAATATCTATATCTATAACTGTTAACATTTAGGCAGAATTTTTTTAATATACTCTATATATTTATCTCTTCTGTGACCATTTCATCTTAGGTGTTTGCAGACCTTTAATTTGTTTTCCTTGCGGTTGACAATGACAGCACTAATCTGCTGGTCCATGAAGATGAGGATGGTGACCAGAAGAGCAGGAACGAAACTGGCCACACACCACCACCAGGGGTTCTTACCAAAGGGCATCACCAGCCAGCCCCGGTCACTACGTGTAGGCTGTATAACAACAAAGAAGAAATATTGGTAACACTTTATAATAAGTGCACACTATTAAGCATTAGTTAATCATCTGTTAAATATTTTATATTTAAAACCTATTTAAATACAGTGAAACTACCATACTAGCAGAAAATAGTGAAAGAGGAAATCAGAGAATTGTGTTAGGTTACAACGGCAAAATAAAAATTGTGCAGATCATTTATTAAGTAAAAGTCATGCATATGCTAGAAAACGCTCGTCTCAGCCACTGTGATTATGTCCATTTCTTTCTAGACTACCATTTTAAACCCATTAATCTGCCATTTGGCCATTTTACTTTTTCAGGGGTGGAACAGTGAGGATTCACCTTTTATCAGATGTTGACCTGATGATAGCAATTAAGGTGCCATTTACTGAATGAATGATATTTGTCTAGTATGCCATATTACTTTTGCATTAAAGAACAGAGACTTTTAAATAATCCTTTTTTTATATATAATGAAGAGATATGTTTTCTTGACACAAAAAGGGGAACATGGAAAAAAAAAGCAACAAAATTGGCTATCGGCCAAATTGTTATTTTAGATACTAAAAAAGAATTGCACATTTTATCTCTGTATGTTTTATAAACATGTACATGTTGAGCTGCACATATAAACGATAGCATATTTATGTAGCTTGGATAATTTCTATGGGTTTGTAAAATTCCATTCTAAGTGGGCCAGTGCCTTACCTTAATTGAACTATTTAAGTCTTTTCTTTTTGATATTAAATTATTTTAAAAAGTAACTACAGTTGCCATACACACTCATTGGTTGTTTAGGTATACCTGTTAAAATGCGCACATATCTAGCACAAATATCTAATCAAATTTTCTTCCAGAAAATAACAAATGATTTGAGTGTAGAACAAGCTCTATAGTATAAGCATTTGAAAATGCAATTTGTGTGAAAATGTGACAGATACAAGCACAAATTACTTTTGACTATGCCATAACTCAATTGAGTTAAGATTATAGACTTAGTCAAAAAGACCTGCTGATGTTCAAAGTGAGATTGGAAAATGTTCCCTGGTATGACGAGTGATTATTCTCCTTTGATCAGAATTTGGCCCAAACAGCATGAAAGCATGATTCAGTCTTGCCTTGCCTCAGTGGTTCAGGTTGCTGCTGGTGATCGCTTCCTGGCACATTTTGGGCACTACCTGATAGCCTACCTGAGTATTATTGCTGACCTTGTCCGTCCCTTTGGGACCACAGTGTACTGTATCCTAGTAGCATGAGCTGGTAGCACCTGCTACCAGCATGATAACTCTCCATGTCATAAAACCCAGCTCATGTCAAACTAGTTTCTTTGTGACAGTGTGTTCACTGGACTCAAATGGCCTCCAGCACCGCATGTCAATCCAATAGAGCACCTTTCAGATGTGCTGAAATGGGATGGGATTTTCCAATGTGTAGTCTATAAATCTTCAACAACTGTGTGATGCCATCATGTTAATATGGATTAAAATCTCTGAATGCTTCTAACACCTTGTCTAAAAAGAAGGCTACTAAAATTTTTTATTTTCTTAAGATGTTTCAGTTTTCATCCAAATGCCTTCTTTAGTTCTAAAACCAAAATATGTAAAGTCCCAGGTATTTAAACCCTTTTAGGGGTTGTTCCCTTTAAAGGTGGCTGTTGAACCATTATTGATCTTTCCTCTTGGGAAAGGGAATATTATGGTTTAAAAATAAAATATATCCATGTGTTAGAATGGCCCAGTCAAAGTCCAGATCTAAATCCAATCGAGAATCTGTGGCAAGATCTGAAAACTGCTGTTCACAAACGCTGTCCATCTAATCTGACTGAGCTGGAGCTGTTTTGCAAAGAAGAATGGGCAAGAATTTCAGTCTCTAGATGTGCAAAGCTGGTAGAGACATGCCCTAAAAGACTGGCAGCTGTAATTGCAGCAAAAGGTGCTTCTACAAAGTATTGACTCAGGGGGCTGAATAATTACGCACACCCCACTTTTCAGTTATTTATTTGTAAAAAATATTTTGAATCATGTATGATTTTCGTTCCACTTCTCACGTGTACACCACTTTGTATTGGTCTTTCACGTGGAATTCCAATAAAATTGATTCATGTTTGTGGCTGTAATGTGACAAAATGTGGAAAAGTTCAAGTGGGCCGAATACTTTTGCAAGCCACTGTAGTACTTTTCTACTCTCCTGGAGTACTCAAAGGGTTCTATACAGTATGCCACATTCACCCAATCACACCCAGTGCTTTCTAACTACATTCACACACATTCACACTCCGATGGATGCATAACTTGCATACTTGACATGCAGACTGGAGGAGCCAGGGATCAAACTACCAGCCTTCCGATTTGTAGGTTACCCGCTCTACCTGATGTCATCCAGTAGCTAGGTGCTAGTGCCGCTTAGGTGCTTGTAAATTCTGTAGGTAGCTGATTTCATACTGATAATAATAGGTCTAACTGGGACTCCTATGTGGATCTTTTGAGGGTATATATACAGGGTATAGCATCCCCTGGGGTAAAGGTGGTGGTATGTAGGATGGTCTACATGGCTAATGTCCACATTTTGGACTAAAAAAATGGATGGTTTGAAACAGGAATAAAAGAAGCAATCTATATCCACTTCGAATGACCATCATTCATCAGACTTATTGGCTTACGACACAAAATGTCAGACATCTTCAATTCAATTTTATTTATATAATCACCTCAAGATGCTTTATATTGCAAGGAATCTACAACAATACAGAAAAAAATCCCACAATTAAATGATCTCGTTTGAGCAACGATTTGGCAAGAGTGGGGAGGAAAAACTCCCTTTTAACAGGAAGACACCTCCGGCAGAACAAGGCTCAAGGAGGGACAGCCATCTGCCACGACTGGTTGATAGGAAGAAGACAGGGCAAAAGACACACTGTGGATGAGAGCCAGAGATTAATAACTCATGAGTAAATGCAGAGTGGTGTATAACAGTGAGTGAAAAGAGGTGAGAGAAGGAGAAACGTTCAGCGCATTATGTGAAGCCTCCAGCAGCTTAACCTAATTGCAGCATAACAAAAGAAGGATTCGGGGTCACCTGATCCACTGCTAATAATAAGCTTTGTCAAAAAGAAAAGTTTTAAGCCTAAACTTAAAAGCAGAAAGTGTGTCTGCACATCATTAATAGTGG